ACAATCTGGCCTCCTCCCCAGCTTCCAAACAAGGCAGCACTTCCACAGCCTGCACAGATCAGCAGTATCCAACAAGGGAGGAGCTCCCAGGAGGGCAAGTGGCCTGCAACATCCTTCTCTCCTTCTTTACCTCTCAGCAGCTGTGGGCCCTCTGCCTTCCCTCCTGCAGGCACAGAAGAGTGAGGCAGTGCTTGTGCATCACCCTGACTGTGCCCTTTGAGCTCTTGCACATGCTTATTTGTAAAGAAATATCAAGACAACCAAGTTTCCTTTCTCATTTGGCAGAGTAATGCAAGTAACAAATCCAGGGAAAGGGGACTGGCAGAGACCAGCACTGAGCATCCCATGCAGATGAGTGGGGAAGGTTGTCAAACAGGGTTAAGAACCCAAGTCATGGAGAGGGCACATTTCTACTCAAGACTCTCTGATCAAACAACCAAACCCTCCTGGTCCTCCCAGTTGCTTTGAATTTAATATTTCTAGGCTTTGCAAGCTATTGGCATTTTCATTCAGATTTTCAATTCTTCCTGAATTGTAAAAGGCTTTTGAGTCCAGTGTGAAAAATGCAAAGGTACTGATTCCATTTTCTCTTTCCCACATTCTGTAAATATCAGATCAGCATTACCAACTTTCTCGGGGGATCACGAGATTGAAATGCATCTTTAAAGGAGTCAAAATAATTGTTATGATGCTTCTACCATTAATGATGATTCAATTAATTTTAGTTTTATGCAGCCTAGTAAAGAAATGTAAAATTTTGTAGTTGAATTACAATGGAATATTTAAGTATCAAAAGGAACTGGAACCAGACCCGACATGGAGAGATGCCAACTTTCCCTTGAAGACATGCAGCACCTGATCCTTTCACAGTCCGAGTGGTGACTGTACTCACTGTCAGGTTCCAGTTGATCTGGGGGATCCGCATGTGAAGGTTGAGACTGAACAGAATCAACAAGACTCCAGTCACCACAAATGCACTGCAGCTCACAAACTCAAAAAAGTAGAGGCCTTCACACGGGGAGCACTCCATGATGGTCTCGATGCAGATGAATGCAATCAGGGCCAAAATCTAGGAAGAAAATTGGAAACATACATGTATGTGTATATTTAGCACACATCCATGGACATTATGTGCCTGCCACACATAAATGTGGCTCAACAACCAGTAATATATACAGCCACGGACTATCACTGTCAGGAATGTGACTAATTCAATTCTTGCATAAAAACAGGTATAGGGGCCTTAACAAAAGGATCAAATTCCTAATGCGAATAACTAAGCCCGCACCACCATACACTGAAACCATTCTGGTGCAGTGTGGCTCTTGGGAGGAAGCAGAAAGGAACATCCCTGCAATGTTTTTAGTTCCTGCGTTGCTGTAAGTGGACACTGCCTACAACACTTTTAATTCATATTCTCTACCACAATTATAACAAACATTGAGAGGACAGGATCCTAATGGTGTCCATTTTATGCCATTTCCAACTATAGTGGTTCATGCTGAGGTCACACAGGCTGACTGGGGCCCCTGATGGCTTTAAGAGCAGGACTGATATAATTCCTTCTTCTCCCAATTAGAAGTCCCTAATAATGAGGCCCACCTAATTAATTTATGAGCTATGGTTTTTAAAAGTTAATCTATGGGCTTGATGACAAAAAGATGGACTGGCAGTTAACAAAAAAACTTAAAAATCTACCAATCATAAAATAAATTTCTGTCTGAAGGATCAAACCAACATTCTGGCAAAATGTCCCAAGAGATTGGAGATCATAAAATCAAACAGTTACCAATGGAAATTACCAGGTGAACTTTTAAAAGCTGGATTTCAGAAGACAGAGTCCCAAAGGCTGAGTTAATGGCTCTATAATCTTGCTCCTAAAACCAAATCTGTCTCAGGCTCCTGGCGTCTACCCCACTTCTTTAATGGAGCCCACCTGTCATGCCTGGGCCAGCGCTGCCAAGCAAACCCTACCTCAAAGGTCGAGGAAGTACAGGGAGGCATATCTGTAGCTTTCCTATACACTAACAATGAACTAGCAGAAAGAGAAATCAGGAAAACAATTCCATTCACAACTGCATCAAAAAGAATAAAATACCTAGGATGAACCCTAACCAAGGAAGTGAAAGACCTATACCCTGAAAACTACAAGACACTCAAGAGAAATTAAAGAGGACACTAACAAATGGAAACTCATCCCATGCTCTTGGCCAGGAAGAATTAATATTGTCAAAATGGCCATCCTGCCTAAAGCAGTCTACAGATTCAATGCAATGCCTATCAAAATACCAACAGCATTCTTCAATGAACTGAAACAAATAGTTTTCAAATTCATATGGAACCACAAAAGACCCCGAATAGCCAAAGCAATCCTGAGAAGGAAGAATAAAGTGGGGGGGATCTTGCTACCCAACTTCAAACTCTACGACAAAGCCATAGTAATCAAGATAATTTGGAACTGGCACAAGAACAGACCCACAGACCAGTGGAACTGAATAGTGTCCAGAGATTAACCCAAACATATATGGTCAATTAATATATGATAAAGGAGCCATGGACATACAATGGGGAAATGACAGCCTCTTCAACAGTGGTGCTGGCAAAACTGGACAGCTACATGTAAGAGAATGAAACTGGATCATTGTCTAACACCATATACAAAAGCAAATTCAAAATGGATCAAAGACCTGAATGTGAGTCATGAAACCATAAAACTCTTAGAAAAAAACATAGGCAAAAATCTCTTGGACATAAACATGAGCGACTTCTTCATGAACATATCTCCCAGGTCAAGGAAAACAAAAGCAAAAATGAACAAGTGGGACTACACCAAGCTGAAAAGCTTCTGTACAGCAAAGGACACCATCAATAGAACAAAAAGGCATCCTATAATATGGGAGAATATATTCATAAATGGCAGATCTGATAAAGGGTTGACATTCAAAATATATAAAGAGCTCATGCACCTCAAAAAACAAAAAGCAAACAATCCAATTAAAAAATGGGCAGAGGACATGAACAGACAGTTCTCCAAAGAAGAAATTCAGATGGCCAACAGACACATGAAAAGATGCTCCACATCACTAGTCATCAAAGAAATGCAAATTAAAACCACAATGAGATATCACCTCACACCAGTAAGGATCGCTACCATCCAAAAGACAAACCACAACAAATATTGGCGATGTTGTGGAGAAAGGGGAACCCTCCTACACTGCTGGTGGGAATGTAAATTAGTTCAACCATTCTGGAAAGCATAAGGAGGTTCCTCAAAAATCCATCAATATCATCCACCACATCAACAAAAAGAAGGTCAAAAATGACAAGATCATCTCCATAGATGCTGAAAAAGCAAAAGGCCCACCTAATTAATTTATGAGCTATGTTTTTTAATAGATTGTCTATGGGTAGATTAATGATACCATTTGACCCAGGAATTCCACTCCTAGGAATTTACCCTAAGAATGCAGCAGCCCAGTTTCAAAAAGACATATGCACCCCTATGTTTTCTGCAGCATTATTCACAATAGCCAAGAAATGGAAGCAACCTAAGTGTCCATCAGTAGGTGAATGGATAAAGAAGATGTGGTACATAGACACAATGGAATACTATTCAGCCATAAGAAGAAAACAAATCCCACCATTTGCAACAACAAGGATGGAGCTAGAGGGTACTATGCTCAGTGAAATAAGCCAGGCGGAGAAAGACAAGTATCAAATGATTTCACTCATATATGGAGTATAAGAACAAAGGAAAAACTGCAGGAGCAAAACAGAAGACTCACAGAACCCAAGAATGGACTAACAGTTACCAAAGGGAAAGGGANGAGTCTAGTAAACATAATGTTCCTCATGTAATTGTAGATTAATGATATAAAAAAAAGCCTCCAGAATCTTGAGCATTTGGAGCTTAAATACCATCATATTTTTCTTAGTTTTCAATGCCTGGACAAAACCAGCTGAGTTTAACTGACATCAGCTTTTCTAGTTCAGCTCTCCTTTTATTTTTCTTCCTCAAAGAGTCGGAAACATACACTTTGTCAAGAAGACCCCATCCTTTCGGCACCCCACAGGATCACCATGGGAGTCGCCCTCCCAGGTAAGGTGAACAATCTGGCCTCCTCCCCAGCTTCCAAACAAGGCAGCACTTCCACAGCCTGCACAGATCAGCAGTATCCAACAAGGGAGGAGCTCCCAGGAGGGCAAGTGGCCTGCAACATCCTTCTCTCCTTCTTTACCTCTCAGCAGCTGTGGGCCCTCTGCCTTCCCTCCTGCAGGCACAGAAGAGTGAGGCAGTGCTTGTGCATCACCCTGACTGTGCCCTTTGAGCTCTTGCACATGCTTATTTGTAAAGAAATATCAAGACAACCAAGTTTCCTTTCTCATTTGGCAGAGTAATGCAAGTAACAAATCCAGGGAAAGGGGACTGGCAGAGACCAGCACTGAGCATCCCATGCAGATGAGTGGGGAAGGTTGTCAAACAGGGTTAAGAACCCAAGTCATGGAGAGGGCACATTTCTACTCAAGACTCTCTGATCAAACAACCAAACCCTCCTGGTCCTCCCAGTTGCTTTGAATTTAATATTTCTAGGCTTTGCAAGCTATTGGCATTTTCATTCAGATTTTCAATTCTTCCTGAATTGTAAAAGGCTTTTGAGTCCAGTGTGAAAAATGCAAAGGTACTGATTCCATTTTCTCTTTCCCACATTCTGTAAATATCAGATCAGCATTACCAACTTTCTCGGGGGATCACGAGATTGAAATGCATCTTTAAAGGAGTCAAAATAATTGTTATGATGCTTCTACCATTAATGATGATTCAATTAATTTTAGTTTTATGCAGCCTAGTAAAGAAATGTAAAATTTTGTAGTTGAATTACAATGGAATATTTAAGTATCAAAAGGAACTGGAACCAGACCCGACATGGAGAGATGCCAACTTTCCCTTGAAGACATGCAGCACCTGATCCTTTCACAGTCGGAGTGGTGACTGTACTCACTGTCAGGTTCCAGTTGATCTGGGGGATCCGCATGTGAAGGTTGAGACTGAACAGAATCAACAAGACTCCAGTCACCACAAATGCACTGCAGCTCACAAACTCAAAAAAGTAGAGGCCTTCACACGGGGAGCACTCCATGATGGTCTCGATGCAGATGAATGCAATCAGGGCCAAAATCTAGGAAGAAAATTGGAAACATACATGTATGTGTATATTTAGCACACATCCATGGACATTATGTGCCTGCCACACATAAATGTGGCTCAACAACCAGTAATATATACAGCCACGGACTATCACTGTCAGGAATGTGACTAATTCAATTCTTGCATAAAAACAGGTATAGGGGCCTTAACAAAAGGATCAAATTCCTAATGCGAATAACTAAGCCCGCACCACCATACACTGAAACCATTCTGGTGCAGTGTGGCTCTTGGGAGGAAGCAGAAAGGAACATCCCTGCAATGTTTTTAGTTCCTGCGTTGCTGTAAGTGGACACTGCCTACAACACTTTTAATTCATATTCTCTACCACAATTATAACAAACATTGAGAGGACAGGATCCTAATGGTGTCCATTTTATGCCATTTCCAACTATAGTGGTTCATGCTGAGGTCACACAGGCTGACTGGGGCCCCTGATGGCTTTAAGAGCAGGACTGATATAATTCCTTCTTCTCCCAATTAGAAGTCCCTAATAATGAGGCCCACCTAATTAATTTATGAGCTATGGTTTTTAAAAGTTAATCTATGGGCTTGATGACAAAAAGATGGACTGGCAGTTAACAAAAAAACTTAAAAATCTACCAATCATAAAATAAATTTCTGTCTGAAGGATCAAACCAACATTCTGGCAAAATGTCCCAAGAGATTGGAGATCATAAAATCAAACAGTTACCAATGGAAATTACCAGGTGAACTTTTAAAAGCTGGATTTCAGAAGACAGAGTCCCAAAGGCTGAGTTAATGGCTCTATAATCTTGCTCCTAAAACCAAATCTGTCTCAGGCTCCTGGCGTCTACCCCACTTCTTTAATGGAGCCCACCTGTCATGCCTGGGCCAGCGCTGCCAAGCAAACCCTACCTCAAAGGTCGAGGAAGTACAGGGAGGCATATCTGTAGACAGATTTGTCCTTCGAGCCAGTAACATTGGCAGCCCCAGGGAGCTTGTTAGAAATGGGGAATCTCTGCCACCCCTCCTTGACCTACACAGTCAGAATCTCAACAAGATCCCCAGATGATTAAAGTGTAGGAAGTGTATGAGGCATGGGCTGTTCTGGGGCCCATCTCTGCCTACTGGAGTCCCTCTGGGGCCTTTTAATGGTCACTCAGGGCCACCTCCTCCCAATGCCTTCCCTGATGATGCCTCTCCCTGCCAGCCACCATTTGATTCCATTCTCTCCCAGGAAAGCTTGCTAGTCTGTAACTGCATTCTCTCTTTTTTTATAATTAACACATTATGCATCTCTCTGTGCCCTGAGCTTTTAAAGGGCAGGAGCCAATCCACTTTTCGCTACTCCCAAGGCACCAACCACTGTAACTTGTACACAACTAACAAGCGGGGGTTCAGGGAGCCCCTACAAACCTACACCAACAATTCCTGATGTGGAACAGTGGGTCTGCTCTATACAGTGTGGATCCTTCCAAGGTAGTAATCATAAAATGCCCCTTCCCTAACAATATTCTCACATTGCTATTTTAAGTCAACATATTACATATATGAGTGTTGAAGCACACACTTGGTGCTTCTCCTAATAGCTCTCCATAAGATTCTCTACAGAACCAGACTTTAATTCACCACCTGAATTACAAACCTGACTTGCAAACAATTGACAAAGAAATAGTTCATACATGGGGCGGAGTCAAGATGGCAGTGTGAGTAGGCAGCAGAAATCTCCTCCCACAACCATATATATTTTCGAAAATACAACAAATACAACTATTTCTACAAGAGAGACCAGTGGATACAGTACAACAGCCAGGCTACATCTACATCTGCGAGAACTCAGCACCTCACGAAGGGGATAAGATATAAGCTGCTGCCCAGACAGACCCGAGCACACCTCCCACCCCAGCTCCCCCGCAGGAGGAGAGGAGCAGGAGCAGGGTGGGAGTGGAAGCCCGGAACTGCTAAATATCCAGCTTTAGTAATCTGCACCAGGAGCGCAGACACACATTGCATGGCATGCTGGATAGTAGAGAAATGGAAAAGTAAAACCTGCAAGTGGGTTCCTGCAGCCAGATTCCCTAGGACAAAAGAAAAGCAAGTGCTTTTCGAAAGTTTTAAAGGGACAGGGGCCTCACAGCTGGATGGAAGCGTCCCAGCACACTCAACCCAGCAGGCTGGGAATTCTGAGGAACTTCGGGCGCCACAGGCCCCTGGGTGGCAACGCACCCCTGAAGCCCCTCACAGCAATAGGCAGCCTGCCAGTTGTTCCCCAGGACTGCACGGCCCCAATACAGTGGCCAAGCAGCCGGAGAATGGACGCACATGCCCATGGTGGTGGAACAGCCAGAGAGCAGCCGTGCACACAGCAACCATCCAGAATCTCCTCCCAGCGCGCAGCCACTCAGGCCAAACCCAGAGGCCATCACCAGTGCGCAGCTGCCTGGTGCAGGCAGATGAAACTGGGGCAAGGCGCGAAGGGGTGCTGTTCTCACAGGAGAGCACATCTGGCATGCTGGCCACTCCCCACAGGGCTCTGGGCTACCCTGACAGTGACCCCGCACACAGCACCTTAGGGGATTAATCCGGAGACTGCTCCAGGTGCGTGGGTAACTGGCACAGGCAGTGGAGAAGGGCAAGGCGACCAACAAGCAGGAAAGGACTTTGTTCTCCCAGCTGACACGCACTACCTGCCTACAGATACCTCAATCTCCATGAAAAGGCAGAAGAATTTGGTCCAGTACAGAATTACCCAGACAACCCCTGAGAGAGAGGCTGGGGAGATAGATTTAACCAATCTTCCTGAAAAAGAATTCAAAATAAAGGTCATAACCATGCTGATGGACCTGCAGAGAAATACGCAAGAGCTAAGGGATGAAGTCAGGAGGGAGAATACAGAAATAAAACAATCTATGAAGGACTTAAGAGCAGACTGGATTAGGTGCAAGAGACCGTTAATGGAATAGAAATCAGAGAACAGGAACACAGAAAAGCTGAACAAGATAGAGATAAAAGGATCTCCAGGAATGAAAGAATATTAAGAGAACTGTGTGACCAATCCAAACGGAACAATATCTGCATTACAGGAGTACCAGAAGGAGAAGAGAAAAAGGGATAGGAAGTGTCTTTGAAGAAATAATTGCTGAAAACTTCCCCAAACTGGGGGAGGAAATAGTCTCTCAGACCATGGAAGCCCAAAGATCTCCCAACACAAGGGACCAAAGGAGGACAACACCAAGACATATAATAATTAAAATGACAAAGATCAAAGACAACGACAGAGTATTAAAGGCAGCCAGAGACAGAAAAAAGGTCACCTACAAAGGAAAACCCATCAGGCTGTCATCAGACTTCTCAACAGAAACATTACAGGCCAGAAGAGAAGAGAATGGCATGACATATTTAATACAATAAAACAGAAGGGCTTTGAACCAAGAATACTGTATCCAGCACGATTATCATTCAAATAC